ATGCTCTGAGTAGAGAGGAGGGGGGGATGGAGGAGAAATGCTGATGCTCTGAGTAGAGAGGAGGGGGGATGGAGGAGAAATGCTGATGCTCTGAGTAGAGAGGAGGGGGGATGGAGGAGAAATGCTGATGCTCTGAGTAGAGAGGAGGGGGGATGGAGGAGAAATGCTGATGCTCTGAGTAGAGAGGAGGGGGGATGGAGGAGAAATGCTGATGCTCTGAGTAGAGAGGAGGGGGGATGGAGGAGGATAAATACTGATGCTCTGAGTAGAGAGGAGGGGGGATGGAGGAGAAATGCTGATGCTCTGAGTAGAGAGGAGGGGGGATGGAGGAGGATAAATACTGATGCTCTGAGTAGAGAGGAGGGGGATGGAGGAGGATAAATACTGATGCTCTGAGTAGAGAGGAGGGGGGATGGAGGAGGATAAATACTGATGCTCTGAGTAGAGAGGAGGGGGATGGAGGAGGATAAATACTGATGCTCTGAGTAGAGAGGAGGGGGATGGAGGAGGATAAATACTGATGCTCTGAGTAGAGAGGGGGGGGATGGAGGAGGATAAATACTGATGGAGGGGGGAGGAACAGGATAAATACTGATGCTCTGAGTATATACTTTAAACAGACTATTCTGTAGGTCACAGAGTATGATACTTTAAACAAACCATTATGTAGGTCACAGAGTATGATACTTTAAACATACTATTATGTAGGTCACAGAGTATGATACTTTAAACATACTATTATGTAGGTCACAGAGTATGATACTTTAAACATACTATACGGTAGGTGACAGAGTATGATACTTTAAACATAATATACGGTAGGTGACAGAGTATGATACTTTAAACATAATATACGGTAGGTCACAGAGTATGATACTTTAAACATACTAATATGTAGGTCACAGAGTATGATACTTTAAACATACTATACGGTAGGTGACAGAGTATACACAGAGTATGATACTTTAAACATACTATTATGTAGGTCACAGAGTATGATACTTTAAACATACTATACGGTAGGTGACAGAGTATGATACTTTAAACATAATATACGGTAGGTGACAGAGTATGATACTTTAAACATACCATACGGTAGGTGACAGTGTATACACAGAGTATGATACCATACTGTACATACAGTAGAATTGACATAACTGGGACGTTTTGTGTTTGTTATACACGTGGTGTTTCTGTCAAAAAGTATATTCTTTCAGATGTCTTTTCATTGCCTGGACGTACTGTAGTGAATCATAAAAACTGACTCTTCTGTGGTGAATCATAAAACGGACTCTTCTGTGGTGAATCATAGAACTGACTCTTCTGTAGTGAATCATAAAACTGAGAGAGAGAGAGATTGTAAAAGAGAGATTGTACTGGACATTGAATACCAGCTGTGGTGTGGGCCCTAACTGTGGTCAATAGGTACCAGCTGTGGTGTGGGCCCTAACTGTGGTCAATAGGTACCAGCTGTGGTGTGGGCCCTAACTGTGGTCAATAGGTTTATTCAAGACCAGGACAACATTTGGACGTTCCACTGTCAACAACACTAGCTGGGATAAATACCACAGAAGACAATTTCTCATTGTATGTGTGTGTGAGAGAGACCTCATCTGCATTAAGTTAGGTGTCCCCTGACAGTAAATACAGTTTGTTTATGACATAATTACACCTTATAGAGAATGTCTACAGATGATTGACTGACTGTTGCGAACCTTATCTGGGCTGAGGGCTGAGTGCCTTATCTGGGCTGAGGGCTGAGTGCCTTATCTGGGCTGAGGGCTGAGTGCCTTATCTGGGCTGAGGGCTGAGTGCCTTATCTGGGCTGAGGGCTGAGTGCCTTATCTGGGCTGAGGGCTGAGTGCCTTATCTGGGCTGAGGGCTGAGTGCCTTATCTGGGCTGAGGGCTGAGTGTTGAGCCTGGGTTAGAGGACATCTGTGTGTGTGTGTGTGTGTGTGTGTGTGTGTGTGTGTGTGTGTGTGTGTGTGTGTGTGTGTGTGTGTGTGTGTGTGTGTGTGTGTGTGTGTGTGTGTGTGTGTGTGTGTGTGTGTTGTGCGCGTGCGCGTGCGCGTGCGTGTGCGTGTGTGTGTGTGTGTGTGTGTGTGTGCGTGTGTGTGTGTGTGTGTGTGTGTGTGTGTAAAGAGCGGGAAAGGGGATGACCGCAGAGCTGAATGGAAAGTCCCTGAAATTCATCCAGAGAAAACAGTCAAGCTGATTACACACACTGTATATAGCCAGCTATAGCTATATATACCCCTCCACCTTTTTCATGCTGTATATAGCCACCCCTCCACCTTATTCATGCTGTATATAGCCACCCCTCCACCTTTTTCACGCTGTATATAGCCACCCCTCCACCTTATTCATACTGTATATAGCCACCCCTCCACCTTTTTCATGCTGTATATAGCCACCCCTCCACCTTTTTCATACTGTATATAGCCACCCCTCCACCTTTTTCATGCTGTATATAGCCACCCCTCCACCTTTTTCATGCTGTATATAGCCACCCCTCCACCTTTTTCATGCTGTATATAGCCACCCCTCCACCTTTTTCATGCTGTATATAGCCACCCCTCCACCTTTTTCATGCTGTATATAGCCACCCCTCCACCTTTTTCATACTGTATATAGCCACCCCTCCACCTTTTTCATGCTGTATATAGCCACCCCTCCACCTTTTTCACGCTGTATATAGCCACCCCTCCACCTTTTCCAGTCTGTCGTAACTGAAGGTGTTGTAATCAGCAATGTCCTTATCCGGGATCGAGCCTTTTATCCAAGTCTCTGTGAGAACCAACATATCTGAGCTGGTGTCATGCACCCAGATAAACAGAAAGGTCCATCTTTGACATCAGCCTCTGTACGTTGATAGGTAACAGCCCAACCCTCTACATGATTTGAAAACAGCGGGGGGTCTCCATACTCAGGGTATTAGAAATAATAGCACTGGACGAGCTGACCACAGTGGGCTTCCCAATGGGGCTAACAGTAACAGAGCTAACAGTAACAGAGCTAACAGTAACAGAGCTAACAGTAACAGGGCTAACAGTAACAGAGCTAACAGTAACAGAGCTAACAGTAACAGAGCTAACAGTAACAGAGCTAACAGTAACAGGGCTAACAGTAACAGAGCTAACAGTAACAGAGCTAACAGTAACAGAGCTAACAGTAACAGAGCTAACAGTAACAGGGCTAACAGTAACAGAGCTAACAGTAACAGAGCTAACAGTAACAGAGCTAACAGTAACAGAGCTAACAGTAACAGGGCTAACAGTAACAGAGCTAACAGTGGGATTCAACTTTATGGTCACAAGATTGTTACTGACAATACCCCTGGGAATATCTGTAGCAGTACTATGATAACGCTGTGAAATACTGGGAATGGGATGAGTTACCTGAGCAGGGGTTGGGCTATTTTTGAGTCAATCTTTTATTAGAGCCTCCTCCGTGTTGGTCGAGATAACTTTTGCCCCTTTCAAATCAAATCAAATTGTATTTGTCACACGCGCTGAAAAACAACAGGTGTAGACTTTACCGTGAAATGCTCAGTTACGAGCCCTTTATACAGGAAGTACCAGGTAATAACATGGCTATATACAGGAAGTACCAGGTAATAACATGCCTATATACAGGAAGTACCAGGTAATAACACGGCTATATACAGGAAGTACCAGGTAATAACATGGCTATATACAGGAAGTACCAGGTAATAACACGGCTATATACAGGAAGTACCAGGTAATAACATGGCTATATACAGGAAGTTCCAGGTAATAACATGGCTATATACAGGAAGTACCAGGTAATAACATGCCTATTACAGGAAGTACCAGGTAATAACACGCCTATATACAGGAAGTACCAGGTAATAACACGGCTATATACAGGAAGTACCAGGTAATAACATGGCTATATACAGGAAGTACCAGGTAATAACATGGCTATATACAGGAAGTCTGGAGGTTCTGTTTGCCTGCGTTAGAATACCTCATTATAAAGTGACTATCTACCAAGAGAGTTTTCATCTAGATTTTTTCTAGCTGTCTATTTACCACCATAAACTGATGCCATGGATTACAGGCAACATCCGCATTGAGCTAAAAGCTAGAGCTGCTGCTTTCAAGGAGCGGGACACTAATCCGGATGCTTCTAAGAAATCCCGCTATGCCCACTGACGAACCATCAAACAGGCAAAGAGTCAGTAGACTAAGATGGAATCCTACTGCACCAGCTCTGACGCTCGTCAGATGTGGCAGGGCTAGCAAACTATCACAGGTTACAACGGGAAACCGAGCCAAGAGCTGCCCAGTGACGCAAGTCTACCAGACGAGCTAAATGCCTTCTATGTTCGCTTCGTGGCAAGCAACACTGAACCCTGCATGAGAGCACCAGCCGCTCCGGACAACTGTGTGATCACGCTCTCCATAGCCGATGTGAGTAAGACCTTGAAACAGGTTAACAAGGCCGCAGGGACAGACGGATTACCAGGACGCGTACTCAGAGAATGCGCTGACCATCTGGCATGTGTCTTCACTGACATTTTCAACCTCTCCCTGACCCAGTCTGTAATACCTACATGTTTGAAGCAGACCACCATAGTCCCTGTGCCCAAGAACGCCAAGGTAACCTGTCTAAATGACTATCGCCCCTTAGCACTCACATCTGTAGCCATGAAATGCTTTGGAAGGCTGGTCATGGCTCACATCAACACCATCATCACAGAAACACTGGACCCACTCCAATTCTCATACTGACCCAACAGATTCACAGATTACACAATCTCTATTGCGCTCCACACTGCCCTTTCACACCTGGACAAAAGGAACACCTACGTGAGAATGCTATTCATTGGCTACAGCTCAGCCTTCAACACCATAGTGCCCTCCAAGCGCCTCACTAAGCTAAGGACCCTGGGACTGAACACCTTCCTCTGCAAATGGAAGTGGCCGCGCACAAATCCAACACCATCATTAAGTTTGCCGATGACACAATGGTGGTAGGCATGATCACTGACGACGATGAGACGTGCTTGGCCCAAAGTTTCCTGTAGCTCCTTTGTCTTGCTGACGTTGACGGAGAGGTTATTGTCTTGGTACCACACTGCCAGGTCTCTGACCTCCCCCCTATAGGCTGTGTCATCGTCGTCGGTGATCAGACCCACCACTGTTGCGTCGTCAGCAAACTTAATGATGGCGTTGGAATCGTGCGCGGCCACGCAGGCATGGGTGAACAAGGAGTACAGGAGGGGACTAAGCACACACCCCTGAAGGGCCCCCGTGTTGAGGGTCAGCGTGGATGCAAGCCATCCCTCTTGTAAGACTTTGGCCAAACGTGTTAATGTACTCCAAATCCATCGAGGAACAGTAGGATTTTAATCCATCAGTGTACCAGAGGAGAGGACTAAAGCGTTCCATAACCTGGTGGAGGCCTGGACATGAAAACCTGCTGTCTCCTGTAGTTTGTCTATGAGACTCTGAAGTCAATTTTTGCTCCAATTTATGAAGATTGATGTTGTTTGTACCAACATGAATGACTACTGTGTGAGCATTCGGGTGCCTCGCCGTTACAGCAGGGACCTGGTGATCTATGTCACGAACATGGACTCAAGGGAAGCTGTGCGTCCTGGCTTCCGCGACCACCACATCCCTATCTATGGAGCGCCCTATAACAACCACCACATCCCTATCTATGGAGCGCCCTATAACAACCACCACATCCCTATCTATGGAGCGCCCTATAACAACCACCACATCCCTATCTATGGAGCGCCCTATAACAACCACCACATCCCTATCTATGGAGCGCCCTATAACAACCACCACATCCCTATCTATGGAGCGCCCTATAACAACCACCACATCCCTATCTATGGAGCGCCCTATAACAACCACTACATACCTAACTATGGAGCTCCCTATAACAACCACTACATCCCTAACTATGGAGCTCCACTGGAGGACGAAGAGAGGGTCGCTGCGAGCCTGGGGGGGGGGGGGGGGGCTTTCTGGGGGGCGTTCCATAGGGAGCTGAGGTGGAGTGGAAGAGTAGCGGAGGGCCCCCGGGGAAGTCAGGGGAAGTGGAAGAGTAGCGGAGGGCCCCCGGGGAAGTCAGGGGAAGTGGAAGAGTAGCGGAGGGCCCCAGGGGAAGTCAGGGGAAGTGGAAGAGTAGCGGAGGGCCCCAGGGGAAGTCAGGGGAAGTGGAAGAGTAGCGGAGGGCCCCCGGGGAAGTCAGGGGAAGTGGAAGAGTAGCGGAGGGCCCCCGGGGAAGTCAGGGGAAGTGGAAGAGTAGCGGAGGGCCCCAGGGGAAGTCAGGGGAAGTGGAAGAGTAGCGGAGGGCCCCAGGGGAAGTCAGGGGAAGTCAGGGGAAGTGGAAGAGTAGCGGAGGGCCCCAGGGGAAGTCAGGGGAAGTCAGGGGAAGTGGAAGAGTAGCGGAGGGCCCCCGGGGAAGTCCGGGGAAGTGGAAGAGTAGCGGAGGGCCCCCGGGGAAGTCAGGGAAGTGGAAGAGTAGCGGAGGGCCCCCGGGGAAGTCAGGGGAAGTGGAAGAGTAGCGGAGGGCCCCAGGGGAAGTCAGGGGAAGTGGAAGAGTAGCGGAGGGCCCCAGGGGAAGTCAGGGGAAGTCAGGGGAAGTCAGGGGAAGTCAGGGGAAGTGGAAGAGTAGCGGAGGGCCCCAGGGGAAGTCAGGGGAAGTGGAAGAGTAGCGGAGGGCCCCAGGGAAGTCAGGGGAAGTCAGGGGAAGTCAGGGGAAGTCAGGGGAAGTCAGGGGAAGTCAGGGGAAGTCAGGGGAAGTCAGGGGAAGTGGAAGAGTAGCGGAGGGCCCCAGGGGAAGTCAGGGGAAGTGGAAGAGTAGCGGAGGGCCCCAGGGGAAGTCAGGGGAAGTCAGGGGAAGTCAGGGGAAGTGGAAGAGTAGCGGAGGGCCCCAGGGGAAGTCAGGGGCCTCAGAGCCATGAAACAGTCAGAGACCAGCTGTCTGGACGAGAGGGCAGAGGGAGGATACGGATACGTTGGAATATTCCTCCTCTCCTACCTCTTAATCCATTCCACTTTGGCCTCTGACGGTGAAGAGCAATACGCAGCAGTTCTCCGGTTCTCGTCAGTGGGATGTGTTTAATATGGGAAAGTGGGCCAAGGTGGCATCCTAAAGTAGCTACTGCAGAGGAGCCCAATGTCATAGAGCACCCTGGATTATCCCCTCTGTCATTTAGAATTGTTGCATCAAAAAACAGCATTGCCGTCTTGAAGTCTCCTTAGCCAGAGCGAGACGTTCCTTCAGGACCCTGTTCTCCTGTTCTGTTAAATGATTCGGTCTTTTGAGGCATGTGTAGAAGTCAGTACATTCATCCTCTACGGTGAACAGAAATATATGACAGGTCTCACATTTCATGGCTTTACTGTCCATCTCTGGATCCCACTCCAAATTAGAGGAATCCAGAAGCGCTGTATCACCACCAAACTTTTTGCTCCCTACTTCCTCGTCACGTGATCCGGTCATAATCCATATTTCATCAATGTACAGATATATGCATACTTTCATAATTTCACCTTGATCTGTTTAGTATTTGTAATGTCATTATGCTGTGGTATGATGTTGTTTGTTTGTTCTCTCTTCCCTCTATCCCTGGTTATAGATGACCAGCTGCACCTGTGACCAGTGGGAATGGTATATAGTGGAGTGCTATGGGGTGGGGCTTCAGGTCTCCTGGGTTCCGGGCCTAGGATAACATGAGTGAAGGTGTCTCCACGAGGAGGCCTTCTCATTGCCACCCGTACAATGTGTGTGTTATTTTCAGCATGAGGGCCATTAATTTGTCATACATATCTCTCAACGTTGGCAACAGACAATGAGGTCCTGCCATTCCTTTCATAGATATGGTTCAGGCAACGTCCTGTTTGAGATATATTCCAACTGGGGTTAGTGGGGTGACTGGGTCTTCAACTGGGGTTAGTGGGGTGACTGGGTAAACAGCAGGGGTTAGTGGGATGACTGGGTCTCCAGCTGGGGTTAGTGGGATGACTGGGTCCCCTGCTGGGGTTAGTGGGGTGACTAGGTCTTCAACTGGGGTTAGTGGGGTGACTAGGTCTTCAACTGGGGTTAGTGGGGTGACTGGGTCTTCAACTGGGGTTAGTGGGGTGACTGGGTCTTCAGCTGGGGTTAGTGGGGTTAGTGGGGTGACTGGGTCTTATAACTGGGGTTAGTGGGGTGACTGGGTCTCCAGCTGGGGTTAGTGGGATGACTGGGTCTTCAACTGGGTTAAGTGAGGTGACTGGGTCTTCAACTGGGGTTACTGGGGTGACTGGGTAAACAGCTGGGGTTAGTGGGGTGACTGGGTCTTCAACTGGGGTTAGTGGGGTGACTGGGTAAACAGCTGGGGTTAGTGGGGTGACTGGGTCTTCAACTGGGGTTAGTGGGGTGACTGGGTCTCCAGCTGGGGTTAGTGGGGTGACTGGGTCTCCAGCTGGGGTTAGTGGGGTGACTGGGTCTGCAGATGGGGGTAGTGGGGTGACTGGGTCTCCAGCTGGGGTTAGTGGGGTGACTGGGTCCCCTGCTAAGGTTAGTGAGGTGACTGGGTCTCCAGCTGGGGTTAGTGGGATGACTGGGTCTCCAGCTGGGGTTAGTGGGGTGACTGGGTCTGCAGATGGGGGTAGTGGGGTGACTGGGTCTCCAATTGGGTTAAGTGGGGTGACTGGGTCACAAGCTGGGGGTGGTGGGGTTTACTGAGCTTGCTACTGCAGTTAGTGTAGTTAGTGCAGTTAGTGTAGTCAGTGTAGTTAGTGTAGTTAGTATAGTTAGTGTAGTTAGTGTAGTTAGTTTAGTTAGTGTAGTCAGTGTAGTTAGTGTAGTCAGTGTAGTTAGTTTAGTTAGTGTAGTTAGTGTAGTTGTAGTAGTTGTAGTAGTGTAGTTAGTGTAGTTAGTGCAGTTGGTTTAGTTAGTGTAGTTAGTGTAGTTAGTGTATTTAGTGTAGTTAGTGTAGTCAGTGTAGTTAGTGTAGTTAGTGTAGTTAGTGTAGTCAGTGTAGTCAGTGTAGTCAGTGTAGTTAGTGTAGTTAGTGTAGTGCTATAGGACCCAGTCCATCTAGACCAATGGTACCAGAGTTACTGAGGCAGCTAGAGGTCTAGATCTTTAAAGGGCAATCTGGGATTGGTACATTTTATAAACTAAAAAAAGTGTCAGAGTGAAGGCTTTGCTGTTGTTTGAATCCCAGCTTGCCCCTTTAACAGGCTCCGCAGCGTCAGGGAAACACTGTAAAACACAGGGATTAAACAGGGTGCTTCAAGGCCAACCTGTCAGCCTGGTTTATGGTTTATGGAACAAGCTGCCTGGAGGATTCAGATCTGATTTAAGAGGTGCTCGACGCATCACATGAATCAGACAGTCAGATGAATCAGACAGTCACATGAATCAGACAGTCAGACAGACAGAGAGTCAATCTGGTAGGGTCCGGTGGAACAGCCAGTAAAGGAAGAAAAACAGCTAGTAAAAGCAGTGAACGAAATGACTCTAGTTGAGGTTTATAATGTGTTGAGCAGCAGCCATGTTGTTACTGTCTGTCAGTACAATGAATAACCTGTCTGGGAATGACAGAGCATAGAGAGAGGAGAAGCAGGAAGGAGAGGAGAGAAGGAGTGGAGGGGGAGAAGGCGATTGAGAGGAGGGTAGAGGTGAAAGGATAAGAGAGAGAGAGATATCGATAGTAGTAGAAAAAGAGAGAAGAGATAGAGAGGATCATAATAGAGAGATATGATTGTTTTTCTATATCTCCTCTCTCTCCTCTCTTCTCTCTCTCTCTCCTCCCTCTTCCGCCTCCTTTTTTTGTTGTCACTTCCCTGAAGTCGAGAGTAGAGGAAAGAAGAAAACATTTGTTTTTAAAGAGGGAAAGAGCTGAGTGGGTGGCAGCCAGACGCCTGACTACTATTGGGTCTGAAATGTAGATATTAGTGGAGAGATCGAGGAAGAGCTCTGATGGAGAGATCTAGAGAATAGAGAGAGAGAGAGAGACGCTAGAGAGAGGAGAGCTACCTATATAGGAGAGCATAACCGCCCCTCTACTCTCAGGTATCAGACGATGTTCTGGTTGTAGATCTTCCATTGTCGGTTGTTGGTCCAGTGCGTTTCCCAGCCTCTAGATAGCATGGCCGGGTCCGTGCCCACACACACACACACACACACACACCACACACACACACCCCCCCAGCACACACACACACACACCCACACACACACACACCACACAACACACACTACACACACACACTCGTGCCTATAGGTTTTAGAGTCCTTATGCTGGTCTGAGACAGGCGCCCCCACGTTGCCTACTCATGGGTAAAGCATGAAGCTGTGGCTCTCAGAGATTAGTCAAACCCGGACACCACAGACCTGTGTGGTGTGTGTGTGTGTGGGTGTGTGGTTGTTCTTCTGTGTGTGTGTGTGTGTGTGTGTGTGGTGTTGTTTCTTCTGGGTGTGTGTGTGTGTGTGGTGTGTGTGGTGGGGGTGTGTTGTGTGTGGTGTGGTGATGTGTGTGTGGACTTTGTTTGTTGTTGTATGTGTGTGTGTGTGTGTGTTGTGTGTGTTGTGTTTTTTTTTGTGTGTGTGAAAGTGTGTGTGAAAGTGTGGTGTGTTTGTTCTTCTGTTGTGTGTGTGTTGTGTGTGTGTGTTGTATGTGTAGTGTGTGTGTTTGTACGTGTGTGTGTGTGTGTGTGTGTGTGTGTGTGTATGTGTGGTGTGTGTGTGTGTGTGTGTTTTGTTTTTGTGTGTGCCTTTTGGGGGTGGTGGTGTGTTTTGTTCGTGTGGTTTGGGGGTGTGTGTGTGTGTGTGTTGGGTGTGTGTGTTTTTGTGTGTTTGTTTGGTGTTGTGTGTATGTGTGTGTTGTGTGTGTGTGTGTTGGTGTGGTGTGTTTTTGTTTTGTTTTGTGTTTGGTCGTGTTGTTTGTTGTTTGTGCGTGTGTGTTGTTTGTGTTTTGCTGTTTCTTCTGTGTGTGTGTGTGTTTGTGTGTTGTGTTTGTTGTGGTGTGGTTGGGTGTGTTTTG